ATTTGATAAATCACAAATCCTCGCAAAAGAACACCGATTCCTACCAAGGATGATACGCGAGGCTATTGAAATTAAAAACATCCAAATTTCAATAGAGAAGATGGATGGGTGCTGCCACCTGCTTGGGATCCTATAATTAACAAAATTAAACCCAATCCTAAGCATACCACTGCAAGACTTCATGATACTATAAGCTCGTTTTGCGTAAATCGGACCAAAAATTAATATTCAAAAACTGAAGGTAGCCGGACTAACTGTGACATTGGGACGTCAAACATCTCAGTCCCCCCGTGCCCATGGGTGCTGTAAAGCACCCGAAACGTCGGGAATTAAAAATAAGTAAAAGTAATGAAATAAACGCGATAAAATCCGTAAATTTAGTTTTATTCAATACTTTTCCCTATTAAACGCATTTGGGTTACGTTTATACTTAGCCTTAGCTATCGCTTTTTTATTAATAATATGTTTAATATAATCGGTAAGCCAAGGTGATGGACGATGTTTAATTTTGACTACGCGTACAGGTGCATGAACATCATAGATTTTTGTAAGGGCTGAAGTAAGGATTGAAACTTTACTATCTAGGTTATCTGCGTTAAAAAGATTTGACCAGTCCCAAAGTAACGCATCCTTTCGAAGACTGTCTATATCCATGCCACCAAAATTACGCTGCAGTAGAATTTTTGGTTTGAATTTGGGAGATCGAGTATTATAGGACAGAAAGATAAGGAAAGATAAGGATATGAGAAAGCATCGGCCACATATTAGCTGTGCTTCGGGACAAAGTTGCGAGAGGAAACAAAAAAGGTCAAGGAGAGAGGGATTCGAGTTTGGAAAATGATGCATGGCATTTAGTGGTAAAATAGAGAGATTACTAGAATATAAGATTGACTGTAGAGAAGAAGCCCTGGCATCTTGTTTAAGGAGCCAAGTGTTAGAATCACCCATAATAATCGTGTGTGAATAGGAGGGAGTAAGCTTATCAATGATGTTTTGGAATGAGTTAAAGAAGTCAATACGCATAGAAGGGCAGTAATAAACATCAAGAAGAACTTTTGAGTGTGATAGTGTGACTTCAATGAAAAGATGCTCACCGGCATTTAGCGGCGGTAGTTGTGCAGACATATCGACAATAGTGAAAGGAATGTCTGAACGTAGATAAATGGCAACACCATGGCAACAAATTGATTTAAAATGTTAGGAAAATTTAGCTTTTGGCAGATAACGAGAATCTCAATACATCATATGCGAATAAGCAACAGCGAATATTTGATATTGTTTTCGTCGTCGCAGGGCGTCTTCGTCTGTGTCAGCAATCCAGACGAGTGTTCGATACTATTACCATTTTTGTAAATTTGTTAATTTTGTTTTCTTATATTATTAGAGTAAGTTCTCCAAATATTTTAGTGAAACACAAAATATTGAAGCTAAATCAGTCTTCTTGAATTGAATCAATACAGGTACTATAACATAATGGTAAACTATTATTAAAATATTTTTTTATAGAATAAGGGTTGACAAACGAGCACACAGTCTACCTGATGGTAATGGATGCTGTGGCCCATAGACATCTACATTTATACTCGAGTAAGAATCAAAACGTAGATGCGTTGTCACCCCTGAGGACTACGATGGAATACCTCGTTTCCAGTAAAAAGGGTATCGGGATTTCTACACTCACCCACTCACTATACGAAATAAAGCAGTATTAAGCTTCTATCTTACGCTGGTATTCTGTAAGAGCGTGGTCCGTCCCCGGTCGAGCCGACCCATTCGTGCTACAACCATAATATAGCTGCAGCGTGGCTCTACCACGTATTTAAGTCTTTAAAAAAACTTTTTTATAAACTAAATTTTTCATAACATGCTATATACTTAAACATTTTAAATTACTCGTAGGCAGGTCAATATGGATTACTAGGTTTTTAATATGGACCTAGGGTATCTAATATGAAGCACATTATTTTTTGATAGAGATTAACATACTTGTTACGTAACAATAGAGTAAAAAATCAAGAAAGATATATTTGAGATAGGTTTTGTAAAAAGTAATCGAGAAATATTGATTTCTATTCATAAAAATTCATTATAAATTTTATAATAAAATTTTAAGAATATTTTTTTCAGTGCCTCAAATCTCCAAAACGCTATCCACCATATTAGATTCCGTCGTGACGTCACTAGTCAAGTAAACTAGCTAATGTGCTGTTATTTCGAAAAATTTCAAGTTATCATTCGAAAAAATTAGAAAGTACTAATCTACCAAGGATAAATACATTGATGGTGGCAAAAATTTTTGCATGCAAAAAATTTTGCCACCATCAATGTACCACCAAACACCAAACCAAAAGAGTCATTGCCAAAGCAAAGTCAGAGCACATAGGCAGAATTGGCGAGAAACTAGTTCGCCTTCCTTCTGGAACCCGTGCATTCTGGTCTCTCGCCAAGGCTGTCCAGGGGAATTTCTGTCAGCCATCTCTTCCATCTCTGCATTCAGGGAGGATGACTCACTGGCCCATACCGCAAATGAGAAAGCCGATCTTCTAGGCTCTTTCTAAGCATCCAACTGGACCCTCGATGACGGGGGGAGTACGCCGACGACCATCCCGCGGTGTGAGTGCTCCATGCCGGAAGTGCAGTTCACACAGCGCTCGGTTCGCAAAGCACTCCTCTCCCTGGACATCCACAAGTCGAGTGGGCCTGACGGAATCCCTCCAATTGTGCTGAGGACGTGTGCTCCAGAGTTGGCACCGGTTTTAACGCGCCTTTTCCGGTACTCCTACTCCCTAGGCGTAGTCCCAAAATCATGGAAGACGGCTTTCGTCCACCCGATCCCTAAAAAAGGCGACCGCTCAGACCCGTCCAACTACCGGCCTATCGCCATCACCTCCTTGTTCTCCAAAACAATGGAGTCCATTGTAAACTGGCTGCTCATGAGGTACCTTGAGGATCACCAGCTGATTAGTGACCGCCAATACGGTTTTCGCCGTGGTCGGTCAGCTGGTGATCTTCTGGTCTACCTAACTCACAGATGGGCGGAGGCAGTAGAGTCCAAGGGGGAGGCATTGGCCGTTAGTTTGGACATTGCGAAGGCCTTCGATCGGGTTTGGCACAAAGCGCTTCTTTCGAAGCTCCTTCCTATGTGCTTCCGGAGAAATTGTGCGATTGGATCACCAGCTTTTTTGCAGATCGGGGCATCAAGGTCGTTGTAGACGGTGCAAGCTCCGATTGCAAGCCTATTAACGCTGGTGTTCCACAAGGCTGCGTGCTATCGCCAACGCTGTTTCTTCTGCATATCAATGATATGTTGCAAACCCGTAACATTCACTGCTATGCAGATGACAGCACTGGTGATGCTCTTTACACCAGCCGAGCCAATATTGGGTATTCTCGGGAAAACGTCTCCGAGTGCCGGGACAAACTTGTGTCTGAAGTCGAGTCTTTGCTGAACGGAGTCTCGGATTGGGGGTGACTAAATCTAGTCCAGTTTAACTTCCAAGAAGACACAAGTTTGCGCGTTAACCGCTATAAAGAACCCCTTTGTTGTATCTCCTCAGTTTCATCGCACTCCCCTTGTTGCCTCAGCCAATATCGGAATCGTCGGCGTCGACATATCGAGTGACGTGCAGTTTCGTGGTCACTTGGAAGAGAAGGCCAAATTGGCCTCTAAAAAGCTTGGCGTGCTCAGCAGAGCGGGACAGTATTTCATTTCATACCGCACACCGCCTGCAACTTTACAAGGCGCAGGTTTGGCCGCACATGGAATACTGATCCCATCTCTGGGCTGGGACTCCCTAGTACCAGCTCTTCCACTTGACCGCATCCATCGCAGAGCGGCTCGAATCGTCGACGACCGAGTGCTTTCCGATCGGCTCGATTCACTGGCACTGCGAAGAGATGTTGCATCTCTTTGCATTTTCTTTCGCATATACCATGGAGAGTGCTCTGAGGAATTGTTCGGATTAATCTCAGCCGCCAAATTTCGTGAACGCACTACGCGGCAAACGTCCCGATAGCATCCACACCATCTGGATGCTTGGCGGTCCACCACTGTACGTTTCACGAGGAGTTTTCTTCCGCGTACAACCTATCTGTGGAATAGTTTACCACCAGCGATTTTTCCGGACCGATAGGACCTGGGGACCTTCAAGAAAAGAGCTTACTCCTTACTAAAGGACCGGCAACGCACCTGCAATTCTCCTGGTGTTGCGGTTGATCATGGGCGGCGGTAGTCACTTAACATTAGGTGAGACGCATGCTCGTTTGCCCCCTCTTCTATAAAAAAAAATGCAATCCTGATTTTTGTTCTGCTGAGTTGAGATTTTTTCTTTCCTCCTTTTTTTTTTTTGGGGTATAATTATTTATTAAAATTAAAAATTATTTTTTTTTTTTCCGTTAAAAAAAGGAAAATTAAAATTAAAATAAAAGTTTATTTTATTTTTGTTTTTTATTTGAAAATTTTTGTTTAAATATAATTTGTGGGGGGGCCACTATATTAAATATAAAAAAAAAAAAAAAGGGGTGTTTTTTTTTTTTTTGATTTTTGGGTTTTTTAATTTTTTTTTTTTAAAAAGATTAACATATACCGGGGGTTTGGGGGTTTTTTTTTTGTTTACAAACATAAATTGCACAAGGACAAACATCCAGACCCGGAACAATTATTTGTAGGCCATACAAATACTTGTTCCGTGCGGGAACTACGCCACGGAGTCGTCGTCGAAAAGTCCACCGAGCTGCCCCTATGCGTGTTGGCGAACTTCACATGTCTTCGAAATATTTTTTTTCTTATTCCTCAGAGATGTAGGTTTCTTCACGTTGTTTTCCTTTACCACCAAGCACGTGGTAAATCAGCACTTAAAATTGCAATTAACAATTTCATTGGTGCCGGCGGGAATCGACTAACGGGACGGGAAACCTTTACTAACGTTCTGTTATATTTACAGCGAGCGTTAAGCATCTGAGCTACCACGGCTCTTTAATTTTTTTTACCTGCGACAGATATGCATAAGGTAGACCTCTTTACAGCTGGTGGCGTGACTGCTTATAACGGTGCGTATAGGCGGCAATCGTTTAGCGCAGGAGGCGCTAAAGCATCTGCTATTCCGATGCACAACTCACCGAGTAAAAGCAGGATGAATGACGACAAAACAATTGTAGTGAATAAGTCTACTATCAAAAATACCACTATGGCCGAAATATTAAGAAATGGTGAAGCTTTGAAAAATGAAGAACCACCAGAGGCCTGGATAAAAGTTCAATAGCACATATTGCGTAACCGTTTAATAGGGAAGACTGGAAAAGCAGAAATAAAACCGGAGGAACAATTTAAATTCGCGGACTTGAAAATTCCGTATATATCCGTATCCTCCGTATTCCGTTAATATCTAAGGTACATAGACGCTAGAAAAAGATATTGTCGATTAGGAATAAAACTAACGAGTTAGTGACACTAGAAAAGTGACTATGAAAAAAGACAAAGGATGCCTTCAAACAAAGGTAATCAGGCCATATTTCATCCTATTTTTACAACAAGCGGTGAAAGGTCTCAACATCATGCGGGATAGTGCACGATCGTACACAGATCGGTCGACCATCCTGTACTGGAAGAAGACAATATTAAGGTTTTGGCATGGCCTGCTAAAAGCTCTTTTTTTACACGGGTAAATGCCTACGCATACCCGGCTCGCGGGAGCAAGAACGGGTTATGTCGGACTCACACCGACTAAAAGCTCATGGTGTTCCACATTCGTCGCATATTGGCAGGACAACGGGAACGCTTTCGCACACATCCGCGGCTCCATCAGCGCCGGCCGTCCCATAGCGGCCTCTCATCGAGAGAGGACTAATCTTCACCATCTTCTCCTCAGGTAAAGCGTAACAGAACACATGGCGCGCCTTTCTCAAAACATCTATAAATTATCTTTTGTTTAATTGCATTAAACTTAACTAAAATAACATAGATTTATTGAATTTAAAGCAACCCGGGCACATATTCCTGACCAAAAAAAATAAATCGGGATATTTGTGGTGGCTTATTTTGTTTTGAGTAGATTCGTTACAATCAGGAATGATTATTACATAATATTCATTCCGTATTAATTCACTTTATAAAGGACCATGTCCAAAATGGCCCTGTTAAATAAAAGCATCGGACATACACGATATTTAATTATCTATTTTATTATATTAGTTGCAAATACTTCCCCTCGTGCTCTCTGTAACAGCAAACACCTGGCCGCCGAGCTTCAGCACGTCAAGCAGGTTCTGCACGACAACAAGCTTCGGATCCCGCGCCTCCGTCACAGTGACCGAGTGAAGCCGGCCACAGTCGAGCGTGTGCCTGCTCTACTACCATATGTCAGAGGTGTCACAGACAAGATTGGCTACATCTTGAAGCGAGCTTCTATTAGAACATTCTACAAGCCGCCGAAGAAGATTAGTCAGTTCTTACCATCCGTCAAGTGTCATATTCCTCTACAAGATGTAGGAGTGTACAAGCTTGATTGTGATTGTGGTCTCTCATATATAGGGCAAACAAAGAGATTAGATTAGATTAGAACCCGCGTAAGAGAACACATAGCTGACGTGAAGCATCAACGCTCCGGGAAGTCTGCAGTTTGCGATCATATCCTAGATGGCCCCAACCATTACATGAGATTTGATAGACCACAAATCCTCGCGAAAGAACATCGATTCCTACCAAGGATGATACGTGAGGCTATTGAAATTAAAAAAAACATCCTAATTTCAATAAAGAAGGAGGCTGGGTACTACCACCTGCTTGGGATCCTATAATTAATAAAATTAAAACTAAACCCAAGCATACCACTGCAAGTCTTCAAAACACAGTTAGTTCATCTGCGTAGATCAGACCAAAGATAATAATTAAAAAAGCTGAAGACACTCCGGGTTAACTTTGACATCGGGACGTCATTCACCTCAGTCCCCCGTGACTATGGGTGCTGGAAAGCACCCGAAACGTCGGGTATTAAAAATAAAATAAATAAAACGCGATAAAATCCATAAAAGTAGTTTTAATCAATGTATAATGTTCGCGCAAATATAAGAAATCATTATGCGTTGCTTATTTTAAGTTTATTACATACATATTTTTGTACAAATACATACATACTGCAATTTGTAATTATATTGTGATATAATTACAAATACCTGTATGTATGTGTGTGTAAAACACATTGATTTCTTATCCACATCGGCATTTTTACTCAATCGCCACGTAAAAACTTTTATTTCCTATAAATCAGTGTAAAGATCTAACTTTTATAACATGAAAATTACGATAAACAATATATTGGTAAACATTATATCGACAAAATTATTTGCGGATAGACATTTAAGCACTAGTATCTATAATTCACCTATGTTGTCACCACTGTTTTTCAAAAATAAAATCTCATGTCTTGATGTTGGTAGAGTAGTTTGGCGCCCTTTCATACATTTACTTCTACCATGGGAGTCCCGCCTCTTAAACGTATTGATTACCTATGTTCTCTTTGTTACGCATATGCAATGAAAAGTGTGTTTTGTGTAAATTGCGGCTCTGCTGGTGGTTTCATGTTGTTGGTACTAAAAACTGTTAAATGTTTCAGGATATTGCTTTTCTGTTTCTTGAAAATCCTACTAAATGATAATGAAACCATAGTATTAGTAGTTCTATTATAACCTCAAAATCTGATACTTTTTTGCAATATATCTTTTCTGCAGCTCGTCCGCCATAAAAATAAGATCGTATAGGAATTCCGTAATGATCGACAATACAACACACAATTTTCCGATGCTCTTGGTTCCAGGGCGAACAATTTATGGGCGCTGAGCAATGTCCTTTCACATATAAAGGTAACAACCTTTACACCTGCACATTCATCGTGTGCCCATAGCCAACAAGAAGAACCTTCACAATACAAATATTTCGCATAGTCATTCTGGGATCGATCAGGAATTTCATTAGTATGATGTCAGATGAGTCATTCACTGTATAACCACCATCCTCGAAAATATAACTGGAATTCAATAACTTTTTAAGTGTTTTTATTTTCTTATGAGCTTTTTCATTGGATTGTTTTTCTTATGTTCTAATTTTATATTTGGTTTCTTCTTTGTCTCAGAATTTTTCTATGGCTCGTTTTCAAGTTTGTTTTGGTCCAGATTTCTTCTTTGTCACTGTATTTTTCTTTGTGTCTCTTCTAATTTTCTTTTTAGTCCAGACAATTTTTTCCACTGCATTCTTCTTTGGATCTTCCATCTCTTTTGTAAAATTTATTTTTTTCCCCTTAATGATTCTGCTTCTTCTTTTCGTTTTATTGACGTTCCCAAATCAAGTTTACTGGCGATGAAGTCAAAAAGTGGATTTAGTAGTTTTTCTTCCACTGTTACTGAATTTTTTCTGTAAACATGGTGCAGGAAGCAACTGTTTTGGAGACAAATTAAACGTGGACGTGGAAGGATCAATGGATAATAAATCTGATAGCTCCTTAGATGGATCGGAACTGAAGTGGAAAATTATGTTATCTGGCGCTGGAGTTTCAACAATGACCGGTGACTTAATATGTTTATTACATAAATTGTAAAATAACAAATCACTGAATCGACAACTAATGCCAATCCAGCTAAGCTTTGAACAGTATTTACAGCATTAGGCCCAGATTCTTCAATTGATACCACTTGTGCTTTGGTTCATTATATATTAGTCTATGCTTTTGCTTGAATATCAAGAGTTTTGTTAACTATGGAACATGATTCATCGACTGTTAAAGATTTTTCTATTACTACAGCCGGTGCTCGAGATTGAATATTAATAGTTTTGTTGATTTTAGATTGTGGTTCACCGGCTGCTCGTTGGGGTTCAGAGTTCTTAAAAAAGTCTGGTTTGAATCATGACCATAACTGTCATTGTTTTCTGACAGTGATTGGACTGTGGGCTGAGTTTGCTGAATAGAATGGCACCAGCCATCAAATAATCATCACCATCCCCATAATCAATAAAATCACGGTTTTCAAAAATATTCCTATATAATGGGTAAATTCTAGTTATACGATAACGATTAATGGCCAGTTCAGTACGCTGACATCTTACGTAAGTACGCCCAAATATTTCAGCAATATGCGTAGCAGCTTGTGTTTTGTTTCGTAAAACCGGCGAGTGATTGAATCTTGTAGCTTGAATGATGAGGTAATTATAATAGTTGAACGTGGTTTTTTCGCGTCAAATCGATAAGTGACCATCTAATATCAAAAATACAGGAGAAGCATCAGAAGGCTTTACATGTTGTAAAAAGTGCTTCAACCATTGGGTGAAAAGATTTATTTGGATCCAACCTGATGGATGGCAAGCGTGGATTGTATCAGGTACCCTCTCGTAAGAAGTGGATGGTATCGCTTGCGTGGAAAAATCATCATCGAAGGAATAAATGAACCACTGGCATTCATATATATTATGCAAATTATTGTTGAACCTCTCTCGGCTGATGTTGTAGCCTTTATTTGTCTTTTACATTTTTCGAACTATTTTTTTTATATTTTTAGTTACACCACCGTTATTCCGTTCTCATCAATATTGTATATATTGTTTGCAGTATACTTGAATTTATCCATAGCTTCTACTAATAGTTTGATGACGAAATGAGAGATTTAGGTGGCGTGGTAAAATAAAAATATGAGTCAAACTGTTTTATTCAGCCATCTAATATGCTAATAACATAATATCCCGCCAAGTTAGTCCAAATCCAGATTCTTCTATGTTCAGTCGGAGCCATGCTGCAGTTATATTAGTAGTATAGTTGTAGCACGAATGGGTCGGCTCGACCGGGGAAGGACCACGCTCTCACAGAATACCAGCGTGAAATAGTAGCATGATGCTGCTGTGTTTCGTATGGTGAGTGTATATATGTATATATTATACTAAAATGCACTGTCTCATAAGAAACACTGTGTAACGGTACATAGTAGTCTTAAAAGTACGTTGGAGATGTTTACTGGCACATAGGGCACTGCATTATAATACATGGTGGCTAAGATTATAAATGCAGCGCTGTCTTGCACAACATGTGTAGCAGATATCGACCGCCAGTACCTCAGTTGCCAACCTCTGACACAATGGAAGACCAAAATTGTCAAATTTCACAGCAACCACTGCAGGGTTGAATTAGAAAAACAACTCTTAGCTAGTGGTCAGCAACAATGGTATCTTATTGTGCAACGATTATGGTCTGCTCCTAGACCATAATATTATTTTGTAAATATT